ATCTGTCCAGTGCACCATTCTGGCCTTAATCCTGTGGTTTTGTGACAGGGGAAGAGCTTCCATGACTTTTTAATGTCAATCACAAGGAAGCCAATCAGAGTCCAGTGTCCGGGCAGAAAAACCGCATGGTGCCATCCTCTTCTGTGCGTATTTAAGTCTGGACAATTTGTTCCAGGTCATCCTTTTTCTTGAACTTCTGTTTAGAAACTCACTTTATGATATATAGCACCGTGCACTTGAATATTTTCTATTGTCTAAACTGTACTTTAAGAAAATAAAACTCCTAATGTTCCATAATCAAAAAGAAGTATTTAATCTGCCCACTGAGACACTTATATAAGTCTCTTTACAGGATTTATGTTTATCTAAAACAGTCAGTTACATTTATTGTTTTTTTTTTTACAGAAACAGAAAAATGTAACCTGGCGATGTCTATTTTATGAATATGGCCATTGGCTTTTCTCCAACAAATAGTTTAAAAGTTGTCATTATAACTGATGCTATTCGTTTTTTTTTTATTTTCATTATTTCTACACCAAAAAGGTTTTTTTATTTTTATCTTTCTCCCATACATTAATGACATATTTGTTGGTTAGCATTTTGTACTCCAAAGTGATAACAGTTTAACATTTTAATGTGATATAGGCACTTTTGTAAAAATAATGTTTTTTCAAGCAACCTGAAGTAATAACAACTGATTAGTATTCTGGCAATAGCAGTACATGATTTATTTTAAAGGCCTTGTAGGCATTTAATATGTTAATATGTGGTTTGCATTATATTAACTTATTCATGTAGCCTAGCAACCCAGCATAGGTTTGTCCTTATCATTATGTACGTAATGACTGCATATTAATTAGGTGTTATCTCTAATTTATGTTTACTTTATTCTGGCTAGCTGAACATTCCATTTCTGCTCTATATTTTGAATGACTGATGTGTCTCTGAGGACTGTGCATTAGGATTATAATTAACCACTGCATTTAAACAGTTTCCAAAGAACATTGTTTAACAAAATAACTGGTAGTGGACCAGCCTACAATATAAAAAAAAAAGTTTGTAAAATTATTCTAAAAAGAACAAATGACATAGGAAAGGTATTATATAAGATCTTTTCTCATTAAGCTTTCATTACCTTGCAAAAACTAACCAAGCTATTCATAAATTAAGTAATTACAGGCAGATCTTTTTTGTTGAAAATGAATTCAGTGTTTTATATAGTGCTTTTTATCCCAAAGGATTCTAAAACACTTCACACTTCACATGTAGGATGTAGGACCCACTCACCACCACAGAAGTGCAGCCCCTATCTGGGAGTCATGGAGCAAATTGCTTAATTAATTGAATTAAATGTTAAACGGACAGACTGGACAATTCAGGAACAGAATATAGGCAAGACAGACAAGCTACATAGAATATGTATAGATTCGATATAGAGGCTAAAACCTCCCAATTTTTCCAAAAACTGCCAGGGGATATTCAGTGACCCTGGTGTCAGGATTTTGTTTAGTACCTCATCTGAAGGATGGTACCTTCTACAGTGCCAGACTGGGAATTCCAGTCAATAAAAAGCAGCATCACGCATTAGTCCACCAACACCACCCACAACAAGTCCTATTTTTCTTGGAGGCCTCCTGTTCCTGTACTGACCCGGCCTAATCTTGCTTAGCTTTTGCAATCTGACATAAGCAAACTTTATGAACCACTTCGATCAGGTTATTATGAAGAGCACTAAGGACCCCTTTTTTACCCCTTCAGAATCTGACTCTCTTTTTATCTTACTTCTGCTGCACCAATGCACAAAGTTCAAAACTGTGTATCCTTAGTAAGCTTTATCTCCTTAAAGAGAAGGCAATTTTCATCTCAGTCTGATGAGGGATACTACTGAACTGGAGATCCATATTGGGACCTCATCTGGATAAAGCATATCTAGTAGATAAGTGCTTCACATCCACATTCATTTGACAACTAAAGATGAGATTGTAATCTGACACTGCCTACTATGTTTCCAGATATAGTCCCACTTTCAAACCATGCCTTAAAACATGTCTGATCAAATGGAGTTTTTGAACAGATATGATGATGGAGATTGCCTCTGGAAGGAGATGAGACTCTATGAAATAGTAAGAAATAAATTACCCAGCCATGCTGTTAAAGCTGATACTCTGGTTTCTTTCAAGAAAAGCTGGATGAGATCCTCCCATTACTTAGCTGCTAGGTTCTCAGTACTTCTTCTCTAATCAGAAGAGTACTTAATGAAATTCAGATCAAAGCCCACATTGTGTGTGT